AAACGGCCTCCCCCCCCTCCTCACCCCCCTCCCACCTCGCCTCAGGAGCGGGGCTGAGGGGCGGGAACGCGCCCGCCCAGCCCCACCGCCCGGTTACCGCGTCCCCGGCGGCGGACACGGAGGCGGGGGCGCGCTCCGCTCCCCCGAATCCCCCCCCCCGAAGGGTCTCGGCGCCGCCGGGGGTGCCCAGGACAAGCCCTGGAGGCCAGGGCAGGGGAGAGTCGGGCCCCCTCACGGTAAAGGGCCCCCCCCGGCCCCTGCTACCGGCAGCAGCTCTCGGGGCAGGCAGCCACCAGCTGCCGAACCATCCTGTCGAAGGGCAGAGAGTGGTTTGGATCGGAGGGGGCTGTGGAAAATGAGTAAAGTTTTGCTTCAGCTAATTGATATATCCTTGTTAGTGTGTCAGTGCTAGCAAAGAAGTCTTAGGGATAGTAGAGTCTAATCAATTGTATCCAATTAATCCCCAGAAATGCCCTTGGTCTGTCAAAGAATCCTTCTTCGCAGAGCATTATCAAGGTGAAGAGAAACAGACTGGAACACAGGAACCCAGAGGGCAGGAGAGTATCAATAAGGCCCAAGAAACCAGTCTTGGACAAGAAATGCCCTTGGTCTGTCAAAGAATCCTTCTTCGCAGAGCATTATCAAGGTGAAGAGAAACAGACTGGAACACAGGAACCCAGAGGGCAGGAGAGTATCAATAAGGCCCAAGAAACCAGTCTTGGACAGTCAATCTGCCAAGTAGATGGTAGCAAAGACTGTGAAATAACGTGTAGCATAATCAACTAATCAAAGGCGTGTTTAGGATAATGATTACGTAGAATAGGCGTGTGTGCACCTTATATGGGGAAAAAAGTGCAAACTAAACCTGTAATAAGTCAGGCGGTCGGGAAGAATGTGAGCTCTGACTTCTCAGCCCATGAGAAGAGAGACAGAAACCCAGGCGGCCGGGATAAGGGTATAAAATACCTGAAAGCTGAAAGATCAGCGTGCATCTATTTTTGGTGCACCCGATTCAGCGCTGTTTCATATTAATAATTTTATTTTTTTTTTAACTTTTGCTTCGGTGACTTTGTCCTCTTTAAATTCTAAGATGTGAGTTGGTGTTTCTCACAGGACGGTCCCCTGGCCCAGCCTCCCCTGTGACGCGCGGGGATGTCACCGTTTCCACAGACTTATCCCTGGAATCACAGGGGAAGGGGATTGTGACAGTAAGATTTTTAAGCCAGGGCAGAGATAGTGTTTGACAGGCCATAGATAACGCTGCACTCTTCTCTCTGCTAATTATGTGGTAGGTTAGTGCAACCACAACACCCGAAAAAGATGCCAAAGAGCACTGTTGGAGGCAGGTGGGGCTCAGCTCATATAAAAGCCAACAAGAAATGGTGAGAAATGAAGGTACTCTTGCAGCACACAAGGACAGGCACAAGAGACCACTGAACATGGTCATCTCCCCAGATTCCCTGTCACCCGATCTGTGCTGTTTCAAGTGGTTTATATCAATTTTGCCTTTATATTGCTCAAGAATCATTCCTCACTGTTTCTGTAATCCAACAGCAGTGTAAAAGAACCTATTTACAACACCAAGGGTTGTTCACTCACCACACAACAACATACGTAGGGCAGAAGGGTGTTTGCATTGGTCTAAATTAAAGTGGGACTGTGTTTCTCACAAATGTTCTTCCTCAAAACCAC